TGGTTGAACCGCGTGCAACCACATGCTAGGAGAGGCCGTTTTGTGACTTCATAAGTTAAGATACACTGCTTTTACGTAGTGGAATGTATTAACATCTGGCCTATCTTGGACAATCTCAGTAGCCAATTAAACGGACTCAGGATTTTGTTCTCTTTCTTTCAAAACTACTCCTTTATGTCGTGTTTATTTTCTAATAGCGTGTTTGCACAGATGTTAGATTTCTGTAATCCTGAATTATTAGAATAAAGGCGTCATTTTTAACTCGCAGTTGTTTGTGATTCATATACGAATGGTTTATCACTCAGGCCAGATCCACTCTCCTTTTGGTAATAGTTTGAATAAAAAGAAATAAAAAGTTCTTTGATAATTAATCGCTCTGCTGATAAACTAGCCTAGATCACTAAATTGGTGGAATACCTGGATTTTAACAGCCATCCAGGAACCATCCAGAGGTGAAAGGCATAAACCCTGGTTAGTAAGCAAATTAAAGCTTCATTTACTCAACTAACAACACCTGATGAATTAAATATCTATTATTCCACAACAGGAGGAACCCGTGAGATGAACAGGTTCTATAAATTAGAACGTTTTTATTGTTCATCTTCACCGGCTGCAAAAAGATTTCAGCCAAATAGATTCATTGATCTACTACATTTAGAGAAAAAAAATGTTATTATGGTCATAACATCTATGGCAAGCCATTTTGATATGTATTAGTTTTACTGAATCTGTACTCCTGATATCTGTAAAAAATATATATTTTTCAAAATGATCATTTCAAACAAAATGACACTCTCCACATCTGGAATAAACATTCTGGATGTCTAGAAATTAATAGCAGATCTCCATATTCCTATTGTTACTGCTTAGCATTTGTATTTTTTTGACTTAAAAAAAATTTCTGATATCATAAATATTCAGTCAAGCTGATAAATGTCAGAACAGCCACTCATAATGTGTAAACATTTCTAATGTAAAATTGATTCTTACTAGTATAATTATTTTTAATATCTGAAATTTAGTTTCTGCTGTAAAAATGGAATTTAGAAAACCTTTTACAGTTCAGTCTAGGAGTGTGATTTTGATCAGGAAGAATCTTATTTTTAGTGATCTACCAATGGAAGAACAGAGAGGAGAGTTATTTTAATAAATGTCAAAATGTTATTTCTAGCATTTAGCAATGAGTGGGAGGAAAAGTTCTGTGATGATATTAATGTCCAGTAGTTTGTTTCAGTTAAAATGTGTTTCCGAACAATCTTCCATGAACTTGGGTGAATAACTGTGTCCACAGATCTTCTCAGACCCATTTTATTCCGTACCTTATCTGGATGTTTTCTACCTGTGCTGTCTGAGATGCTGCTGTGCGTGTTTACATGCTGGTGTATCCGTGTACGCCATCATTTTCTGCACCACAGTATCATTCATGACCCAGAAAGGATCAGGTGAGAGGCGGGGGACCCAGCACAGGTCGCCAGTGTCTTGCAGTATAATACCATCTGCTGTTGCCGCCCCAGAAAGACTTCCTGCCACTCTTTACCAGCCCATTAATATTTTCTAGATCCCCCGCTGGCGTAAAAAATATGAACCTGTCTTCCAGGTCTACCAGCACAGGGAAAACCCTTGGATATAAAATGAGGCAGAGATGATTTCAGATGCAGGATGTTTATTTAAAGAGAAAATCAGAACAGAGTGATCAAAGAAAAGTCAACAACTTTGTTTGACTTATTCTACATCCAACTTAAAACCTCAGAAATCAAAGAGCTAAAGGATTATGTCATTCCCAAACAAACAGAAATACCCCATCACCAAACTAAAATCCCCGACTGAGCATGCTCAGCTTTGTTACCATGGTGACCCTCACTGATAGAAGCACAGGTACTCTGCCACTCCTTCATTGCCTTCGTTAAGATCCGTTTCCAACAGCTGGACCCCGGCAATTTCATAGAATTCCTTACCAATCTCCTTGATAATCAGAGAGATGGTTTGGATGGCCTTCTTGCTTTGGCCATCTTTGGTGTAGCAGAGGAATATTGGGGTACCCTTGCCCTCGTTGAGGTTCTGCTCCACCTTTTTATAATCTGTTGAAGGACATTTATCTTGACAGATCTTCAGGTCCTTGATGGCCTCCTTTTCATCTGTGGTCAGAAGGTACCAGAGGAACATACTGGGCCCCCCACTACCCCTGTGGATGTCCTCATCCAGACGGATGTAGCCCTCTTTGAACTTTGAATGATCATCTTCGAAGTTACGAGTGGCGATGATGTCACTGACGAAGGTTGGTTCAGCTCTCTGTACCCACAGGTAGATCCTGCAGCCTCCATTTCTTCGATTCAAGTTACAGGTGAGCTTCTCCCACCCAAAACGAAAGAGTTGGGCTTCATCTTCTCTTTCAGTGGAGAGGAAAAGATCTTTGATTGGAATTTCATGGTTAGTGGAATCCTTATGGTACCACAGGTAAATTTCATCTCCACCTGCTCCTTGGTTCAGATTCTTGTAAACTTTCTGGTACCCTGCATCATGTAGGCCTTTGCTCATTTCATCATTAAATGAGGCCTGAATCCTGGTGATTCCGTTGTCATTGCCCTTCTTGTACCAGAGGAAGTTTTTTGCTCCGGTGGATTCTTTGTTCAGATTTACAGGGTTTTGGATGTAGCCATCTAAAAGGAATTGTTTCTCCTCGTCTTGATTGACAGAAACCACGATTTCAGTGATGTAAGACATGTTGACTTCCTGCAACAGAAAAGCATCAAATGTTGGTCAGAGATGGAGATGGACTTCAATGTGAATCAACCAGTTAGGAATCCCTACATTATGCAGCTGAATTAGGGCCAGAAAGTCTGTTTGAACACCTTTATTTTGAAACTGAAAAATAATATTTGAATTAATAAATGAAAAACCTTATTTTAGAAGGAACAATAAAAAAATCAAATTTGACTAAATTGATAAATGATGTATAATTGTACGTGTAGTTTTGTGTGAAAAGGGGAATGAAGCTTATTTTATTCCTCCTGTAATCTTTAAACACCAGCAATATTATATGAACTTATTGGTCCTCGCTGCTCCAACAGTCCGTTAGGGGAGCAAATAAACGAGTTTATGTAGATATTAACATATTCACACATCTTTAATTATACAATTCTCATTTAAAGCCCCCATGAAAAATAACAACCACTGAGAAATCTGTATCCACCCATCTGCAGTGACTGGAAGAACCCATGATGTTCAACGACCTTTTTCTATCTGATCTGTCTGAGAGAAAACGCTTCATGCTTGGACTTCGCTTTAATCCAGGAATTTTACACCATCTGATGATTGTTTTTTCCCATCTTCTCAAAGCGGAAGAACGGCTGGACTGCAGCAGAGCTTCATGGTCAGTGGGCACCAACAACCAGCTAAAGACGTAAAGGATGGTTTTCTTTCTGTCTCACAGGGAAATAGAGGGAGACATGAAACTTATTACCTTACAATACCTAAAGCAGCTGAGAGAAACCAGCTGCATCTTCTGCTTTACTTTCAAACTGACTGAAAACACTCAGCAAATTGATCAAAATCATAGTTTGTCAGATGCGATGAGTGCAGCCCTGATCAGATCAGTTAGTTTTCTAAATAAACATAGATGTAGATGATCTTCTACAGAAAGTCACCATGGTTCCTGAATGTAACCCCTGGGAACAGATAAGCTGTCAGTCATCATCCCACACCCCATGTCATTTCAGCCCCCAAAAACCACACATCTGAAACTCAAAAAAATTTATGTTTTTTCAGTTTCAACATTATTTTTGTCATTTTTATTCTTTCATTTTTTGATATTTAATAACATCAAACATGGTCCCAGTTTAGCTCCACACTAAACCACCAGTCAAAGGTCAGCATGTGTCTTCTGGACATCGTTCTTCTGAAGACAGAATGGCTCCTGAACCTCTATCTGTTCATCTTTAACAGACGAATGGTAAATGGCCTCTACTTCTAACGGGCTTCAACCGGTCAGGTCTGACCATCGGTCTGGGTGGGCTGTCTTGGCCAACTCTCCTGCATCTGAAGCCACCATCACCACAAGCTGCAGCAGAGGAGAGGAAGTCAGGCTCTCCTCCGTCTGCTTCCTGATTCTGACCCAAACCTCCAAGCAACTGGAATCAAATGTAACCTGAAGCTGCGATGCTGAAGCTGAGCTGCCTAAAGACGCTGTAACCTCATGAAATCAGAGCCAATCAGGATGATGGAGACTTACGTGTCTGCAGGCAGAGGTCGGCTGGCTGAGGTCTTCTGGAGGTCTGAAGGCTGCTGTTCCTGAGCTGCTCTCCTGCTCTTTATACACCTGCTGGGAGCTGGGCTGTGGTGGGAAAGCTCCACCTCTCAGGAGAGGCTTTCTCTGGAAACCCCCCCCCCCCCCCCCCCTCGTCCCAACGGAAGGTTGGGCTGCTGGCAGCTTTCTCAGGAAGCCAGAGATCTGGCAGGTAGGAGTCCTTTGATGGGGGGACAGATGGGCGGCTCCACTTCTTTGGAAAGCAGAAAGATTTCTTCACTGATTCGGTCGTCTTTGTCGCCACTCGGCTGCGTTATTGAAGCGCTCTGAACTCTGGGGGAAACAGCAGTTCTTTGACTAACCTGAATTACAAGATCCAGGATAGTAAAGTACTTTGCTTTAATGTGTTCACCAATCGCTGCAGGTTTGACAGCAAGCAGCAGCTGATGTCAGAGCTGCTTAGAGAAGAGCCTGCAGCAGGCCGCTCTAAAGGCGGCGACCAGGAGAACAAGGGACACACATGACCTGTGACATCCATCCAGGAAAGGGAAAAAACTCTTTTAGACTTTAAAGGAAATAAAGTTATTATTTCTGATAATCTTAAAAGGAACCAGAATCAAGTGCAGCGACTAACAAAGTGAAATCTGTTCAAATGTTTGTGTTGGTCAGAGGAGCAGCAGCACATTGAGGACAGTAGAGATGAACATTAGGGACCTTTGGACACCAGAGCGCTTCAATAACGCAGCCGAGTGGCGACAAAGACGACCGAATCAGTGAAGAAATCTTTCTGCTTTCCAAAGAAGTGGAGCCGCCCATCTGTCCCCCCATCAAAGGACTCCTACCTGCCAGATCTCTGGCTTCCTGAGAAAGCTGCCAGCAGCCCAACCTTCCGTTGGGACGAGGGGGGGGGGGGGGGGTTTCCAGAGAAAGCCTCTCCTGAGAGGTGGAGCTTTCCCACCACAGCCCAGCTCCCAGCAGGTGTATAAAGAGCAGGAGAGCAGCTCAGGAACAGTAGCCTTCAGACCTCCAGAAGACCTCAGCCAGCCGACCTCTGCCTGCAGACACGTAAGTCTCCATCATCCTGATTGGCTCTGATTTCATGAGGTTACAGCGTCTTTAGGCAGCTCAGCTTCAGCATCGCAGCTTCAGGTTACATTTGATTCCAGTTGCTTGGAGGTTTGGGTCAGAATCAGGAAGCAGACGGAGGAGAGCCTGACTTCCTCTCCTCTGCTGCAGAGGATGTATAAACTAGATGTCTATGAAGCTCTTAACTGGTTGATGTTTCTGTGAATAATTGCAAATTTATTTACATTGAAGTTTCTCTGATCAACACTTTGTTGTTTCTGATGCAGGTAGACGACATGCCTTCCAACACAGACAACGATTGCATCACTGACATCACTGTTTATATAGAAAAGGGTGGCCCCACTGAAGTAAAAACGGAAGAACAGAAATTATCTAAAGAAGGCTTTATCCAGATCCCTGTCAGTCTGACCAAAAGAGCCGGTGGTTATAAAATGTACATGTGGTACAAAAAGGGAAATGATGAACCAATCACCAACATTCAGTTCAGCTTCAGTGGGGAAATGTCTAAAGGCCTGGAGGAAGCAGGGTACAAGCAAGTTGAGGAAAATCTAAATTACAAAACCGGTGGAGATCCTCTCCATCTCTGGTACAAACAAGGTCCTTCAGAGGGAGGATCTCCCATTACCGACCTCTTTGTCACCACAGAGCAACAAGCAGCTCCACAGCTGTATCATCTGGGCTGGGATAGGCTCGCCTGCAACATGAAGAGGGGAACTTCAGGAACTCAGATCTTCCTGTGGGTGAAGAGAAGAGAACAAACCTACATCTCTGAGATTAGAGCTACAGCTGGCTTCCAAGATGACGCTAAGCAGTTTCAGGATGGGTTCTTCAGACTGGATGAAAACACCAACGCAAGTGCTGGAGGAGACAAAGTATTCCTGTGGTACAAACTGACCACTAATCCTAACGAAGCTCTCACAGATCTATCAGTCTCTGTGAGTGCAGCGGAGGGGAAGAACCTGCAGGAGCAAGGTTTCCAAAAAGTTATACAGGATCTGAATCAGGGGACCGGAGGAAGCCTGGTAAATGTGTGGTCCCAGAAAAAGGGATCCAAGCCCATCAAGACCTTCACTCTGATTGACGGGCCCCTTTACAAGCTGCCATGTCAGAGGGCGGGGCTCCAGGTCATTGACAAAAATCTCAATGAAGGCAATACAGGAGCTTTTCAGTACCTGTGTTTCTATCAGTGAGCGTCGGCACTGAAGCCAGCGGCCCTGAGGAGGAAAAGAAATGGTTTCATTGCTTTGGTGGTGGTTCTATTGGTCGGGGAAAGAGTTTAAACTCAAATCTCTCCTTTTATTATTGATTCTGGGGTCATTTAAACCAGATTTTCTTTCTTTCCTGTAACCCTTGTGTTTTAAAGAACAATAAACGTCTATCATGCATCTGAAAAAACTGTCGTTCATTCATTTAACCTCTTGTTTCAAACTCACTTGTTTTATTTATACAATTTAAAGAACCACAGCAAATAAATAATATATTAATAACATAAATATCAAACACAGTCAATTGAACCAATCAAACCCTTCCCTGAAAAATAAATCTAAAATGCTCATTTAAAAACTATTTTCACAGTATCTTTTTATGGTATAAATCAGATAAAATAGTTTTTTAAACTGACAACCTGCTGTTTAAACAAAGATGGAGGAACATTCATGGTTTGAACAGCTGAATATTTAGAAAATCTTCAATTCTGTCCATAAAAGTACTAAAACCAATCAGTAAATCTACTTTCAAATATCTTTACAGACTAAAGTAAATGATCACTTTGTGCTTCGGCTCCACAATGAGTTGCTAATAGAACAATGTGCCGCTGAACAGCAGCGTTCTGTTTCCACATGAAGGAAAAGTACAGAGTAGGAGGAATACGATAAAATGTCCTGTAAACAGGACAGGTGTGTCACCTGTGAGTGGATCACAGAGGAGACAGGTGGACTCCATGATGCCGGAGCTCGTTTATTCACAAGCTGCACGACCAGGACCAGAAAACCGTTTCCATGGTAACGCCCCCCCTGTTAGAACCACAGCGGCTCTGTATGAGAGCCTCTAAAATGAACAATATATAAAAAATGACAAAAGTCAAGGTTGGATTAAAAACCGGACGAATAAAGTCTCAAAGTTTTATTTTGCTATTTTCCAACCCACTAAAAATATGAACTTTACTTTTACTTCTGACTAAATCATTCATCCCCTTCCAGGAAGAACAAGTTCATGAAAGCTTTCTCAGTTCATTGTTATAATAAACATCCAGTTGTTCATGTTATGCTTTCAATCAGGCCTAGATTGATCTTGGCTTTTGCCACATAGCCAGCAGGGAAGCGGCATATGTCAGTTTCAGCAAAGGTCCCACATCGGCGCTTAATATCCTAACCTGGTTTTAATAACAATATAAATGTAATGTTTATGTCTTTAGGTGTAAATGCGTCTATGTGTTGAAAACAACAGTAAACAGTCACACCACCAAATCTTGTTGTTGTTTTTGTTTTGACAATGTGACTAAATGTTCAGAAAACGCAGCATACTGTCAGTATTACAATGTGAAATAGATAGTGATCTGCTAAGCATTAGCCTAGCCACCATGTTTAACCTTGGCTCTGGTTGCAAACAACAGGAGGTCAGCCCCCCCCCACCCCCCCATGCAGATATTTTCATAGATTTAACAAAGAAAACCTTCACATTAAAAAGCTGTTGTTGATAGACAGAAAACAGCCACTTTATTAAGACACACGCCAGTTTGAAGCAGGGGCGTTGCTAGGCACCAAGCTTTACTGGGGCACTGGCCCCCTACCGCATGTGCCCCCCCTTCCATACGCAAATACAGACAAGCACACTGCCCCACCCTGATACATTGCTACCAAAATTACCAGTTGAGATATTAATGAGTGTAAGAGCATATTTGTTTTAACAAACATTTTCAACATTGCAATAAGACATCAACAACTTTGACAAATCAAAAGTTTCCTTATACACATTCTGAAGTAATCGTTAATTCCTAGGTTTCAGAGTTTTAGTTCAGGGGAAAGTTTAACTCAACCTGAACTAAGTCTTTCTTTTATTTTCTGAGCATTAAAGTTTACCTCCTATTTTTGATTTTTGCAAAGCGGTCGATCACTAGACTGTGACTCAGCTTAGAAAGTTCTTCCTTTTCAACTTATAAAGTAGCAGGATGGCCCGTCTCCTCCGGTTGGAATTATCTACATCGATGAATGACAGAATGTATTATTGCTGCAAATATTCATGAGATTTATACTGGGCCACAGCTCATTATACTGGGCCACAGCTCATTTATACTGGGCCACAGCTCATTATACTGGGGCACAGCTCACTATACTGGGCCACAGCTCATTTATACTGGGCCACAGCTCATTATACTGGGCCACAGCTCATTATACTGGGCCACAGCTCATTATACTGGGGCACAGCTCATTATACTGGGCCACAGCTCATTATACTGGGGGCACAGCTCATTATACTGGGCCACAGCTCATTATACTGGGCCACAGCTCATTTATACTGGGCCACAGCTCATTTATACTGGGCCACAGCTCATTTATACTGGGCCACAGCTCATTATACTGGGGCACAGCTCACTATACTGGGCCACAGCTCATTTATACTGGGCCACAGCTCATTATACTGGGCCACAGCTCATTATACTGGGCCACAGCTCATTATACTGGGCCACAGCTCATTTATACTGGGCCACAGCTCATTTATACTGGGCCACATCTCATTTATACTGGGCCACAGCTCATTTATACTGGGCCACAGCTCATTTATACTGGGCCACAGCTCATTTATACTGGGCCACAGCTCATTTATACTGGGCCACAGCTCATTTATACTGGGCCACAGCTCATTTATACTGGGGCACAGCTCATTATACTGGGGCACAGCTCATTTATACTGGGGCACAGCTCATTATACTGGGCCACAGCTCATTATACTGGGGCACAGCTCATTATACTGGGCCACAGCTCATTTATACTGGGCCACAGCTCATTTATACTGGGCCACAGCTCATTTATACTGGGCCACAGCTCATTATACTGGGCCACAGCTCATTATACTGGGCCACAGCTCATTATACTGGGCCACAGCTCATTTATACTGGGCCACAGCTCATTTATACTGGGCCACAGCTCATTTATACTGGGCCACAGCTCATTTATACTGGGCCACAGCTCATTTATACTGGGCCACAGCTCATTTATACTGGGCCACAGCTCATTTATACTGGGCCACAGCTCATTTATACTGGGCCACAGCTCATTTATACTGGGCCACAGCTCATTATACTGGGCCACAGCTCATTTATACTGGGCCACAGCTCATTATACTGGGCCACAGCTCATTATACTGGGCCACAGCTCATTATACTGGGCCACAGCTCATTATACTGGGCCACAGCTCATTATACTGGGCCACAGCTCATTATACTGGGCCACAGCTCATTATACTGGGCCACAGCTCATTATACTGGGGCCACAGCTCATTTATACTGGGCCACAGCTCATTATACTGGGCCACAGCTCATTTATACTGGGCCACAGCTCATTATACTGGGCCACAGCTCATTATACTGGGCCACAGCTCATTATACTGGGGCCACAGCTCATTATACTGGGCCACAGCTCATTATACTGGGCCACAGCTCATTATACTGGGCCACAGCTCATTATACTGGGCCACAGCTCATTATACTGGGCCACAGCTCATTATACTGGGGCCACAGCTCATTATACTGGGCACAGCTCATTATACTGGGCCACAGCTCATTATACTGGGCCACAGCTCATTATACTGGGCCACAGCTCATTATACTGGGCCACAGCTCATTATACTGGGGCACAGCTCATTATACTGGGGCACAGCTCATTTATACTGGGGCACAGCTCATTATACTGGGGCCACAGCTCATTATACTGGGCCACAGCTCATTATACTGGGCCACAGCTCATTATACTGGGGCACAGCTCATTATACTGGGCCACAGCTCATTATACTGGGCCACAGCTCATTATACTGGGCCACAGCTCATTATACTGGGGGCACAGCTCATTATACTGGGCCACAGCTCATTATACTGGGCCACAGCTCATTATACTGGGGCACAGCTCATTTATACTGGGGCACAGCTCATTATACTGGGGCACAGCTCATTATACTGGGGCACAGCTCATTATACTGGGCCACAGCTCATTATACTGGGCCACAGCTCATTATACTGGGGCACAGCTCATTTATACTGGGGCACAGCTCATTATACTGGGCCACAGCTCATTATACTGGGCCACAGCTCATTATACTGGGCCACAGCTCATTTATACTGGGGCACA